TGCAACGATGAATGATATTTGAAGATACGTTGTATTTATTAGAAATTCTTGAAAAGTATTATTGTTTAGGGCTTCAATGATTTCTCAACAAATGGAAAAGTATTAAAGAAAATTTAAAAAAATAATACTTGTAAAGCCTCATGTACAAAGAATGTAATAGTATATTAAAATTGCAATACTTCCTTTTTTCGAATGTTTTAATGCTTCTATTTTTTCCTTTGCTGGTTTTGAATGAATTAATGCAAAAAGACAGAATTATTGTCATTGATTAATGGCATGAATAAAGCCTAACCTTTTGTCCGATGATAATGTATATATTAAGTATAAAAGCACTCTAGTATCTTACTGGCTCAAAGGATGTGGCGATAACTTTTGAATGCAGGGGTCATACGTTCGAATCAATTGTTTTTTTTTTTATTAATTATTTGTTGCCCGTAAAAGTAACATAACAATTATTAATTTTATATGAAATTGGCGTTTAAAAATATGTATTGGCGAAGTATAATATAACTAATTATAGGTATACATAATCAACGAAAAATTAAATTATTGAAATTTAATATAATTTATTAATTATTCCAATTTCATGTATTTTTTTTATTCATTATTCTTGATTACATTTCTAATTTCTGTTTCAATAATTGTACCTATTTAAAATTAATTTGTTTACAACACAAGGTGGTACATTAATAAACCGCTTAAAAGGAAAGTCGATACACGAAAATCAGATCTTTGAAAAAAAATTTGTCACACCTTTTACATTTAAAATATTATTACTGATATTTTTGAAGAGAGAGAAGTGATTAATGTTTGTGAAAAGAAATGCAAAGAAGCAAAAATAATTAGTATAACAACTTTTATTTGTAATTGGACTTTTCTTCTGAAAAAAGGTAGTTGAAAATGTTTAATAACAAGAAATTTAATATTATATTTATATAAATATAATTTTGACACATTCTTTCAGTGATGTTAGAGTACGCAGGTAAGTACATTTTAGACACAAACAAACTTGCTATTAATTAAATATTATTCCGTTGTATGTATATATATATATATATATATATATATATATATAGATTTGCAGAAAGAGTATGATTTTATATACATTACATTATACACATTACATTATACATTACATATACATTATACTCGTGCAATGACAACATTAGTTTAATTTACGACACTAGTTTCTTCATTTTCTTCTCCTTCTTTCTTCTCTCTCTGTTTACATACGATTTTTTGGCATTTTCTTTTATTCGTATGTACGTACGTGTTCTCACCAGACACAATAAAACTTCATCAGGTAAGGAATCTTTGTACTCAGCCACCGCATTCCTTGTGAAAAAGTACATTTATATAATTACATAACACCATATTACAAATACAATGTGTATGTGTTTTTATATACTTACTTGTTTACATTTGGAGCTTCTGAACAATTCAAAAATAACGTTGGCACAGCCGATGGTAGTAGGTGACGTTTCTTAACAGGGTCTTTCCGTGCTCGACCTTGATGAAAGGACTCTTGACTAAAATGAACCGAGCATATCCTTGCTGAAAATAATATAATGTATAAATAATAAAACTTAATACATTGTATTAAATATGGCTTTATAATTTTTATTTCAAATTAAAGATTTTCATATTTTGAATTGTAAAATATTTTTACTTATATACATGAACAAAGTGCTAATTTGTTTTTATTATTTTCTGTTCATATTAATAACATTTCATGACATTTTTACTCCATTTGTAAATACAAAATTTGAGGTTATGTTAGTAACTAAAAAATATTATTTTTTATTCATTTTTATTTTTCAATTAATATACTTTTGCACGTTTATGTACAATATCAAACTTACCAAATTCAACTTTTGGTGGTAAAACATAGCCTCCTATTTTTTTCAGCCATCCTTCCCGCATCACTTCATTTTTCGGTAGCTGAAAAAAATTCACAGTTTCCTCACGAACCCCCGTTGTTTTATTTCTACAACTTTTAACAATACACCGCACCATTTTTATTTTAAATTTATATATTGTCGCAACGCAAACAGACCCACTGTTTAACACAAAACAATGTACCGTACTTCTGAGTGGCATAAGCGGCATGAGTGTGACGATGCATGAACATGTGCCAATATTACAACACCAAAAATGTTTTACTTCTAGACGTTGGCTACTCTGTTTACACAATTCGACACGAGTGACGTCATTACCCGAATCCCCCC